TTCATTATTGCTCAGTAAAAGAAATGTCCCTTGAAAAGATTAACTGCAAAGGGCAAATGGTTACCCAAAAGCTCTGAGGTGCAATAAGATTAATGTTGTTTTCATGTCTGTTAATACAACATCCATTCTAGAGCCCATGGACCAAGGAGTACTTTCAAAGTCTTATTTAGACATATACTTCATTATACCATGGCTGCCAGACAATGATTCCTCTGGATGGATCTGCACAGAGTAAACTGAAAATCTTCAAAGATGGGCAGTGGGTATAACTCAGTGGTAGAATGTTTGCCACGCAGGTGGGAAGCCCTGATTTTGATTCCTATCACCACCAGAGTGGGGGGAAAAGTTGAAAATCTTCCAGAGAGAATTCACAATTGTTGATAGATGAAATTAAGAACTTTTGTGATTCATGGGAAAAAGTCAAAATATGAACCTCAACAGGAGTTGAGAAGAAGCTGATTCCAAATCTCATAGATGACTTCAAGGGGTTCAAAACTTCAGTGGAGGCAAAAAAAAAAAAAAAAAAAAAAAAAAAGTTCTAGGGGACAAAAGCAAGAGATACTAGAATTAGAAGTGAAACCTAAAGATATGACTTAACTGTTGTAATATCATGATAAAACTGTAATGAATGTGACATTGTTTCTTACAGATGAGCAAAGAAAGCATTTTCTTGAGATGATATCAACTCTGTTTAAGATGCTAAAAACTGTGTTGAGATGACAACATAAGATTTAGAATATTATACAAATTTAGTTGATAAGTTAAAGGCAAGGTTTGAGAGGACTAAAACAAACAGCATCATATGTTTCAGAGAAATCTTTTGTGAATGGGAAGAGATGTGGTAAGTTTCCCTGTGGTCTTATTTTAAGAAATTGCCACAGCCACCCTAGCCTTTAGCAACCGTGATCAGTCACAGGAGCTGTCAATGTCAACATTGAAAAAAAATCTTTCACCGGAAAAAAAGTTAGGACTTGATGGCTCAAATAATTGTCAGTACTTACCAACAATCTTTCTAAGATATGTCTGTATTCTTTCTGCTTAGTAAGATCAGGAATAAGTTAAGAATACTGTTTACCAAAGATTCCAGCTAGTCAGTTTTATAGAGAAATGGTAATAAAAGGCACAAAGTTCATAAAGAAAGAAGTAAATATGACTTGATCTGTGGATGACCTATTTACAAAGAGAACCCTAAGACATCTATTTTAAAAATACTGGAATTAGTGATTTTACAAAGATCACAGGATACAAAGTCAATACATAAAAATCCAATTTTCCCCATATGCTAGAAAAGCAAAGGAAAAATGAAATTAATAAAAAGCACTAACAACTGTATCAAACACGTGAAATACTCAAACATATTCCTAACGTGCATAATTTCAGAAACTACAAAACATCCTAATAGAAACTAATAAAAATCTACATAGAGAGATATAATATGTTCTAGGTTTGCAAGATTCCATGCTGTTAAAATTACAATTCTTTCCAAACTGACCTACACCAGTGAAAGCAAACCAAATAACAATCTCAGCAGGCTTTTTTCTTTGTAGAAATTAACAAACTGACTCATATTTATATGGAAATAAAATAACCAAAGCAATCTAGTATAATCAAAAAGAAGTCCCTGTAAAGCTTTACCTGCTCTATAAAGCTGAAAGAATGAACACAGTCTGATTTTGGTAAAAGAACAAATAAATCAGGGCTGGGGATGTGATTCGGTGGTAGAGTGCTTGCCTGGCATGTGTGAGGCACTGTTCAATTCTGCACCACATTAAAAAAAAAAAAAAGGAATAAATAAAGTAGAGGTACAACGTCCATCTACAACTAGAAAAAAATTTTAAATTAAAAATTCAAATAAATTAGTAAATCAGAATAGAGTCCAAAAAATTCACACACAAACCAACTTTCAAGAGCCAAAGTAATTCAGAAAAGCTACAGAAGAGCTATAGACTGGAAGAACGTATTCACAAAAAAACATATTAGAAATGGGTCTTTCAGTAGAATGTATTTTAAAAGGAAAAGTCTATAAACAACAAAAAGAAAAAACTAACTAAAAGGGGGGAGAAATTTTACAAAAGTATGACTAGCCAAAATAACATATTAAGTGCTCAACATCATTAGTCATCGGAGACATGCAAATTAATGCTACAATGAAGTACCACTTCACACTCACCAGAAGGACTAAAATCAAAGACTACTACCTCCACTAAATACTGAAGAAGATATGAAACGATGAACTTTGAGATTTCTGGTGGAGGTGTAGAATGGTGTGCAGAAAAAAGAAAACACTTCTACAGTAAGACTGCATACAGTTTTATTCATAAGTGCCCCAATAATCCAGTTTTTCTCCAACAGGAGAACAGATGAACAAATTTTGTGTATGCATCTAATGCAACCTTATTCTGCCATAAAAAACAATGAACTAGAAATTAATGCAATAACATGGATGCATCTCAAAAATATTCTGCTTATCTAAGTACAAAGGCCAAAAAAAAGTATGGGATTTCATTTACATGAAATTCAATAACAGACAAGACTTATGACAACAAACAAAAAGTGGTTACCTGTGATGAATGAGCACTGACTAGAAGAGAATGCACGGGTACTGTGGGGATAATGGACACAGTCTACATGTAGATCTGTTATATGGATATAATTTTCTAAAACTCTGAACGGCCCAGTTAAGTTTTACATACTTCACTGTACTCAAATCTAACTTCATATAACATCAATATCATCAACACAATACTGGGAACAATTAGGAAACAGGGAATCATGTTATCTTGAAAATTAGTAACTAATAAGACTCAAACATTTATGCTGATAATAACACGGATCATATATGTGGATTTATAATTCTGGGAAACTAGAAAGTAGATGAGTATTATAGGTAAAACTTAAGAAATGTTACAGGTAATAACGAAGGAGAAATAAAGAATTAGAATATTACCATATTATAAAGCTTAATGAATTAGTAAACCCAGGCAATCATGATCCATAATAAAAATTCCTTAAAGAAATAGTCAAATTTTAAGTACCTCTACATAGAAGTAACAACTCAAAAACCTATGAAGCAATTTCTCCATTAAAAAACAGCACAGATATTGTGAATTGTGCTGCTATAAACATTGATGTTGCTATGTCCCTGTAGTATGCTGTTTTTAAGTCCTTTGGTTATAGACTGAGGAGTGGGATAGCTGGGTCAAATGGTGGTTCCATTCTCAGTTGCCCAAGGAATCTCCATACTGCTTTCCATATTGGCTGCACCAATTTGCAGTCACACCAGCAATGTATGAGTGTGCCTTTTCCCCCACATTCTTGAAAGCACTTATTATTTGTATTCCTAATAGCTGCCATTCTGAGTAGAGTGAGATGAAATCTTAGAGTAGTTTGGATTTGCATTTCTCTAATTGCTAGAGATGTTGAACATTTTTTCATATATTTGTTGACTGATTGTATAATTTTTTCTGAGAAGTATCTGTTCAGTTCCTTAGCCCATTTATTGATGGGGTTATTTGGTTTTTTGGTGTTAAGATTTTTGAGTTCTTTATATATTGTAGAGATTAGTGTTGTATCTGACATGCGTGTGTTAAGAATTTGTTCCCAATTAGTAGGCTCTCTATTCACCTCACAGATTGTTTCTTTTGCTGACAAGCTTTTTAGTTTGAATCTATCTCATTTTAGATGCCCTTCAGTAAACGAATGGAAAAAAAATGTGGTATATACACACAATGGAGTATTTCAGCATTAAAAGAGAATAAAATCATGGCATTTGCAGGTAAATGGATGAAGTTGGAGAATATAATGCTAAGTGAAATTTTCCAATCCCAAAAAACCCAAATGCCGAATCATTTCTCTGATTTAAGGATGCTGATTCATATTATGCTGGAGCGGGGAGGTATTAAATGAACTCTAGATAGGGCAAAGGGGAAAAGGGGAAGGAAGGTAGGAGAAATGGTGGAATGTGATAGTCATCATTACCATATCAATAATCATCATTATCATATCATGTATGAAGATACAAAGGATGTGACTCCACTTTGTGTACAACAAGAGATATGAAAAATTGTGCTCTATGTGTAATATGAATTGAAATGTATTCTATTTTTATACATAACAAATTAAAAATTTTAAAATATAGATATTTTCTAATATTTTCAAGGAAACACTAAGATGCTACGTTTTCCATAACAACTGTTAAGTATTATCTGTATTACAGAGATGTGATACATCTTGGGATTGGCAACTGGGGTTTTCCTATCACCATGTGATAGGAATCACCTTTAAACTCCAAGTACCAATATAATGACCGCTAGCAGTAAATGCAGCAGCTAGAAATGACCAATAGTGCACCAGAAAGAGGAGATAAAACCAAGATGAACAAAATGACAATAAGAATTAATAATAATTAATATAAAATAACAAAAAATACAATTTGTTGCTAGACAAAAGTTAATATTTATTCTGGTGTTTACATATTTGCATTCCAGAGCAAGAACTTTCCAGGAAGGTACCTGTTTGTATACCTTCTCACCTCACCCCACCAGTGGATGCCAAAAGGCATCTCTGTCTCTTTTACCAATCTCAACCGGGAATAAGGAAGTCTTGTGTTTTTCAGGATTGAATAGGATATTACAGAGAGGTAGAGAATATGGTAGCAAAGGCATCTGCCAGAAGCAGACAGAACTGGAAACCTCTACCCTGAAATTAACTGGAAATGCTTACTTATATACTAGTAGAAGTACATGCTAATATGTATTTGCCATACGGATTTCAATAAAAGTGTACAATTTCACATCACCAGGAGTAACAGGTAAGTTATAACCAAAATACAGGGGAAAACAATGCACATAAATATTTCATTTGGGAAATAAATCATACTATAAACACTGATGATTATATTACAAATACAGTTCGAATTTTGCAGCTGAGAAATTGCAAGTTTGCTTATTTGGTAAGTAATATTTAGAGACAAAAGTCCTCTTAAGAATTGAGTACCTCACCTAATCAGAACAGAGTCCCTGGTATAGCCACCATCATATTCTGTAGTTTCTTCTAGTGCTTGGAAATCTAGATTCTGCAAATTCAAGAAAATATGTCTTAATATCTTCTACATTACACCATTAAAACAATACGTGATGTTTTAAAACAATTTTTGTGGGGGCAGACATTTTCTTTCTTACCCGGCTTCCACATATGAGCAATTCAATTTCTTCTGGTCTGAATAAATACTTTAAGGGAGATTCATTGGTCACCATATGAAAACCTCTGCGAAAAGCCTTGAACTGTTTTTCTACTGATTTGTTGAGAATGTAGTCAGAATAGAGATTGACAAATTCCTGCCGAAAACAGTAACCACAAGAATGTCTTATGTTATTAAAAAAAAAAAAAACCTAATTAGTGGGCAAATCATTCAAGAACACTTTTCAAAATTAAAATTTTATACAAAGGAAAATATCTTACAATTTCATAATTCTCTACAATAATCAATATTAAGCTGTAAAAAGTTCATGTGCATAAAATGGTTATATATGTTTCAATTTTCATAGTATTTTAAACAAGACTGAATATAAAAGCAGAGGCCTCAAATGGGCATGGTGGCACACACCTGTAAACCCAGTGGCTTGGAGGTTGAGGCAGAAGGATCGAGAGTTCAAAGCCAGCCTCAGCAAAAGCAAGGTGCTAAGCAACCTAGTTGAGACCCTGTCTCTAAATAAAATACAAAATAGGACTGAGGTTGTGGCTCAATGGTTGAGCGCCCCTAAAGTTCAATCCCTGGTATCAAAAAATAAAAAAGCTAAGGCCTTAATATAATGTTTTAGGTTCCCTTACATTTAAACTGTGTGTACATTTATAATAGTCAAAACTTTTAATACAGTATAATGTACTGAATTTGAGCAAACCAGAAAGTCTCATGCTATCTACTACAGAATATTGATAAGCTGCCTACACATCTAGTTCATAAAAAATCTGGTGTTTTGCTTGATGCCTAAGCTACTACACTGAATCATAAAAGGAACTTTATATCCTAACTTAATAAGTGTGATATTTTAATATAAGCACATGTCCTTATAGGTATACTAAAAATGTATATAATTTTCCTGCTACTTGTTTTCAGACAAATAACGTTTTGGTCAACAAAATTTCAAATCTGATGTAAAGAATGCTTTAGAAGTACAATTACATACCAAATGAGAAATACACATAAACATTAAATGCAATTATCATTTTTTTAATCACAAGGTCCTATTTGCTTCTTAAGTTTAAGGTAGAAAAACCCTGTTTAGGTACTCATTCTCTCCTACTAAATGTCCTCTTATAAAGGAATTTAGTACTCAACTGTGTGCTCACACACCAGATTAAATCCAAGTTTTAGAAAACTGTAGCTCTACCATTTGCATGAATTTGGTTACTTAATTCCTTTGTTCTTGGTTCCAACTCTATTATACTTCTTTAAAAATTACAAGCATACAGGTTTTGAAATTGTTATCAAAGAGACAAAAACAATGACAATATAAAAACATTCATTACCTTCCTGTTTTCATTTGTAATTGGAATTTTATCACCATTTTCTTTTAGATCATACATCATTGGGTTACCAAAAAGATCTGTCTGTGATATCTGGAAAGTGATCATCATATCATCTTCCACATTTCCTTCATATTCTAGTAAGTCTTTTAAACTCTGATATAGAACCTAATAATGAGAAATGGGAAAATTAACTTCAAAATACAACACATTATCTGTATATAACTAAAATAGATATGTGTGTGTGTATACATACACACACATTTAGTTGTAGATGGATACAATACCTTTATTTTATTTGTTTTTGTTTGTTTATTTTATAATGTGGTGCCAGGGAATGAACCCAGTGCCTCATGCATGGTAGGCAAGCCATCTACTGCTGAGCCACAACCCCGGCTCCTGTATATAACTCTTTTTAGAAAAATAAAAACAAAAATACAAATTGTGTCAGAGAGAAGTGCACCATAAACGATATCCATTCTTCCTGTCCCCTAAATAGTTCATAATCTAGAAAGACTGTCAGTCATTGATGATGTTCCATTCTTTGCTAAGAAGAAACCTCACACTACCAATTCAGCAACAGATTTCACATTGTACTCTATGAGAATATCCACAGTGTCAAGTATGGAGGACAGAGCAGAAGGAGAGAAACAGACACACAAACTTGAACACACCAAGTCCCTAAGCCAGTGCAACTGTGATTTCACCTGGCAGATTTATATGATCACATTAAAAAAATAAATGTTCATAGACTCTTCCTTCTGGAATTAGTCTAAAAAAAGAAGAAAAAAACCTGCCTGTAGTCAGTAACATATAGAAATTTCCCTCTCTGACTTTTTAAGTGTTCTTAATACTTAAATTCAGAGTAAGGTAACTTTATCTTACTAGATCAAAATATTGAAAACCTTTAGTAACATTTTATGTAAATTAAACTACTTTGTCATTTTATATTTACTTTCTTAGGTTTTATTTAAATGTAAAAGAACTTACTGGGTGAGAGTCTCCCAAGTCACGAAAAGTTCCTTTCTTCCCCATTAGCTTCCTGTAGACAACCATGGGAAAATGGACATCCAGGATACAGTTGTTATAAATAGCCAGACCCAGTACAATGCCAATCAGAGTAAACTGACCCTCAGTTTCAAAAGAGGATGGATTAAACCAAAATAATTTTGTAGATTCATCATATGTGAACATACCTACAAGAAATAATTTTTTTAAATACATTACTTTTTATTTTATGAAAGACTGGTGAAGAACAATAGCATAAATGTAAACCTGAAATCATTACACATAAAAAACTCACATTTGAACATGAGAAACTAATGCCCAAATATAATTGATTGATATAAATATGGCAAATGCTGGCATGTTAATTTTAACAAGAAAAAAGGTAATATGAAATGGTAGCATTTCTAGAAAGCGTAGAGTATTTCATTAAATCCAAGTTTTATAATCTATTAAAACATTCAAAGGGTGAACTTACATTGAATTTATTCAATCACTGAAAATTAAGTGCAAAAGCAAAGTCATATGACCCCAAAACGTGAGATTTCTTTAAAAGCTTACATGTAAAAGCCATTTAATACACATATTAATTGAACCAATATATAACAAAAGTAGTTTTGTAATCTTTCAATTTCATGTGGTGGTTATTTAAAAAAAAATCAAGTTAGAGAACTTTTTAGCATCATTCCTTAGAAAACAGAACTCTTTCATTTTTAGTACATGAAAAAGCATTATAGGGAATGAAAATAACTGGTTTTACAATTTCTCTTTATTTTACTAAATGTTTTTCAATTACTACTGTGAAACTAAATAAAAATATTTTTAAAATTAGATCTGAAAAAAATCTGTAATTTCCAACAGAACAGAAGTCAGAAATAACAGCATAAAAATGTATTTTTAAATCAATAATAATAATTTCAAAAGCTTTTAAAAAGCCATTCATTTTTACTTTAAGTTAAAAATAACAGGGATTTTAAAATGCCTCTTTGACCACTAAAAGCATACATTAAACACAGGTTATTTTTCTAAATTCAATTCATGGAATAATGTTTTGTAAATTATCAAATTGATACTTAAGTTTCACAATTTAGATCCTTTTTTAAAAAAAGGGGGGGCGAGAGAGAGAGAGAGAGAGAGAGAGAGAGAGAGAGAGAATTTTTTAATATTTATTTTAGTTTTCGGTGGACACAACATCTTTATTTTATCTTTTATGTGGTGCTGAGGATCAAACCCGCACATGCCAGGACAGCATGCTACAGCTTGAGCCACATCCCCAGCTCACAATTTAGATCTTAAAAAATGTTTTATTTATAGGACAAGTTATAGTTTCTATGGAAGTGCTAAAAATTTCAGGTGGCAAATAATAAATGTGGTAAAATATCACAAATGCATGTCCTTAGGCTTAAGAATAAGGAACTAGAAATTAACCAGAGCATAGACTGCACAGGACATTACTTTCATCTCCATATACGAAAAAATAGCAATTATGAAATCAAAACACTGTGGCTAGAAGAAAAGTCCCATAACGGATGCCTCTTGTAAGATATTCTTTAAGATTCCTACTGCCATCACTTCATTATCTTATCACCTGGAACAGCTTAATGTATTTTTTCTCTTAAAGGTTATTTTTGCATATAATCCAAATATATTTTATATCTAACGTTTAACATTTCCAGATACATCAGAAGCTACATAGTGAAGGGTCTGCCAAATTTATGAAGCCTACAAACCAATTCCTTATGAAGTTCATAAATTAATTTCCTTTGTCAAAAAGGATATAGTTTTGTGTCTCTGGTTTACTGTGAAGAAATTACATACAAAGAGCCTAGACTTCTGATTAATAACAAAATATTGGCTAGACTATTATAGATAAAATCTTATCCTAACTGTACGTCATGAACCTAAAATGTTTGCTTCTATTTATACACACACACATGAATGGCTAAGAACAATAACATTAATTCATTATCAATTCAATTTACCTACAGTACTAAGAATCCATAGGCTTTAACAGTTTAACGCAAAGATAAAGGGAAATGATGTGCATGATTCTATGCCATGTCCCGCACAATTCTAATGGTATCTTTAGTTGAAACTTTTTCCTATAATTTTATTAAATTTTTAATGCAAGCAAGCCCAATAACTAAGTGGTTACATTGTAGAAATTGAACAAGTGCAGAATTATTCTGTTAAGCAGACCATGCTAATAGGGAGTCTTTTCCCTGTTCTGCTTTGCCTACCTTTCACAACAAAGAAAGATACAATCAGATTCATATCCTTCACTTTCCAGACCAATATATGTAATAAGTATTTCACAAACAGCATTCAAACAATAATTCTTTTGACTGGCAAGTACTATTAAATATGAGGTAAGAAAAGGATTCTGGAGTGGTTTGGAGGAATTGCTACTATACAAAAACCTAAGAAAAAATGTTTTCCTCAGGCCTTGCTCATGTTAGGCAGATGCTCAACCACTGAGTCATATCCCAGCCCATATTTTTCTGGATATTTTCATATCCAGAAAAATCTTAGCGCAAAAAAAAATCTAATTTAATTAATTTGATATTACTAGTTTCTGAACTTTGAGTATGATACACTTGTGAGACATTCTCTTGACATTCTTCAAATGACTTCTCTCATTAACACCACAAGTTTGTGACCATTTCAGACTATACAAAGAAACTCCTTCAATTTTTCCAAATTACAACATTCTTAGATGTTTCCAATCAAATTTACTAAAAAGATAATTACCTTTATTAAAACATTTGGCTATATCTTTTTATTTTATTGGTACTGGGAATTGAACACATGGGTGCTGAACAACACTGCCCCCCACCCCCAGTTTTTTTTGATGGTGCTGGGGATTGAACCTAGGGCCTTGTGTATGTGAGGCAAGCAATGAACCAACTGAGCTATGTCCCCAGCCCCCCTGGTTACATAATCTTAAAGAACTTGAATGAATGATGCAAATCTGTTCCTAAAGCACAGATTTACACAATGCAGTCAGTTATCTGTGATTATAGGTCATCCATACCAAAAATCATCCTTCATTTCTGCTTTTCAGAGCTGAGAATATTTATAAAGGCAAATTCTTAATTCAAAAATATATGATGTATATTATTCATATCATCAAAATATTTACCAATATCTGGATTGAAGATTTCCTCCACAACCAGCTGAAAAAATTCTTTGGAAACACCACCCTCATCAACTCCTTGTTCTCCTTCAAATTCCACATACAACTGTTTCTTCAAGTCTGCAGGATTTTCCATAGCAATCATCTCTAGCTAGTTTTTGAAAAGATAAACGTAAAAGATGATTGTCAGCTATCAGGATACAAGCAAAATAAAAATAAGTAGAAGCAACACAAAAACAAATAATAAAGAAAATTTTTTTCTCCTTTTTTCCTTTCAAATATAAACAGGAAGCAAACAGACCCCCCCCCAAAAAAAAAAGTCAAAGACAGATTAAGTCTCACAGAAAATGGAAAAGTGGAATAGAAAAAAAAAAAAAAACCCCAGCATAATATTTAGGATTACTTTCTAATTTTACTGATGTTTTATAAAAATAATACATAGTAGAAAGTTAGAATTAGATTTTTCTGTTACTTGTTTTTAACAAATTTGTGCCTCAAAAGACACAGAAGTTAAGAGAGATTAATGTTTATGTGACTGCTCAAAAACAATGGAGCAAAGAAGCAGAACTTCAAAATTATCTATTAATAGTCCTTCATGTTTACTAGAATAAAAAGTCAAGAATTAAGTCTCACTGCCCATTAAGTCACAAGTAAAATAATTTCAACTAAGAAAAATAAATTGGCTAAACAGAAAAACAGTTTATGGTCTCTCACAATGGAACTCAGTATAAATTAATCTTTTAAAATGTACTGAAATGAGTGCAGGTAAAACATACACTTGTAATTAACAAATCCTAGTATCTAGCATTTCTTCAACTATAGATCCTTTACTAAACACTTTTTCTATCTACAGAATAATGTACATAAATTGATTATTCAGTCACTGTGAGATTAATCACCAAATCAACACTAGATTCTAATGTAAAATGTTTATATATAATTTGTTCTATGCCAAAAATTTACACAGAATATGTCTGATTAATTATCCATCTTATTTGCTGAATTGTTTCCAAACATCTAATGGTAATAAAAAAATTTTCTTTTTCACTCAGCTGGGATCGGTGGTGCACACCTGTAATCTCAGTGGATCTTGAGGCAGGAGCACCAAAGCCAGCCTCAGCAATGGCCAGGCACTGAGCAAGTCAGCGAAACTGTGTTTGTAAAGAAAAATACAAAATACGGCTGGGGGTGTGGCTCAGTGGTTGAGTACCCCCTTCAATCCCTGATACCAAAAAAAAAAAAAAAAAAAAAAAAAAAAAATTGTTTTTTTACTCTTCAAGATCAAAATTTGCCAAAACAATATTTAAGAATGTTTAAATTATTCCAATTATTCCAAATGGAATTTTAGAAAATGTTTTTAAACAATGCAACTATCACTGGAATAAGTATCTTATAGTCCTAAAGTAATTACTTAGGTAACAATACTCATTTGGACATGCTTGTTTGTTTACAGCAATTTTTTTAAAATCTCAATTCATGATGGCTCTAGCACCATGTTTTTCAAAATGCCAACTGCAACTCATTAGTGGGTAGTCAAATCCATTTAGTGGTTTACAGCCAGCAAAGGGGAAAAAATAAGAATGCACTGCACATAGTAGCAGAACCTATTTTTCATGAAACTTTTTTGTTTCAATTAGATGTATATAGATGGATACCCACTGTGTACTGGGAAGCTAAGTAAACTATTTCTTATTAAGGGATATAATTTTTAAAAAAAGATAGTTTGAAAAAACTGACTGAAATTTTTTTCCCGAACAGCTTAAATTCCGAGGTTTTATAATTCTGTGAATTTAGTCTAAAGCTTTGAAGAATGTTCAAAAGCAATCTCAAAAATTTAAAAAAAAAAAATCAGGGATTTATTTTTGAGACAGCATTTCATTGTGGAAATATTAAAACTCAGAATACTCTATATACTAGCCCTGTCACTTAATAAAACTTTTAAAAAATATTTATTTTTAGTTATAGGTGGACACAATGTGTTTATTTTATTTTATGTGGTGCTGAGGATGGAACCCAGTGGCCTCATGCATGCTAGGTGAATGCTCTCTCTCTAAGCCACAACCCCAGCCACTTAATAAAACTTTTAACTTTTAAATTTAGCAAGTGACTCAAGCCTCGGTTTCTTTATCCACAAAGGAAAAAAAAAAAAAGCAATACTTTTCATACTACAAGGTCATGAAGGCTTAAAAGAATACATGAGAGAGTTCTACAGAGCAGCAATATTATTAAGATGTTAACACATTAGCTTGTTATCTTTTAAAACTTTGTTCTCCAAACAAAAGATTCAAACATTTATGTCCTTTACATTTATGTCCTCAAAGGAACTGGAGAAAGACAAGTTTCAAAAATCTAGACTCGAATAAATATAGACTTAAAAATAAACGGGGGGTGGGGGGGTGGGGGGGGATGACGGAATTCCAGTTGATATCCAGCCTCAATCTATAGACTATATAGGATTCTGAGGTCTAAATTTACATTTAGTATGTATTTAATATCCCACATTGCTATGTAACCCATTCCTAGTTTTATTCTCCCAGATCTCAAATGGCTAGGTGTTAATGGATGTAAGTATATTTTTCTATTTGTTTTTCTATCACAAAGGCAAACATGCTATAATCTAATATAATGAATTCCAAAGTGAAAAAAAAAATCTGATATTCAGACCATATCCTAGAGTTTTCCCCATTAATACTCATAAATGAGCACTGACTACTTATCAACATGAAACCTTTTAAAGAATTTGGTGGAGAGTTTCTATAGGATTCAGAGCTCTATATTTGAGTCTTACTTAACTCCACCTAAGAAATGTCATATGTCAAATGAGACATGAGGACACATTCTATCTGTCAAGTTCCACCAATCTTGACTGTATACCTTGGGTGTCAAAAGAATTTAATGCAGTATTTGTTATGGTAAATGAAAACATGTAACCTCACCTCTTTGATTTAGTTTCAATCTATAAAATAAGCAAAATAACATATTGAAAGTTAATATATATGAATGCTTGGATGAATTCTCTGCATAGTATCAGTGCTTATAAAAGTATGTTGTTGCTATTATTACTATTCTATTGGTTCTAAACCTTTTTCCAGGTTTATGTTAAACTCCAGCCATCATGTCATTTTCAAACTATCCCAGGAATAACTGCAACAACAACATATACAACTTAAAAGCACTTTACACATTGCAACCATTTAATCTTCACAACAACTTCATCAGGTAGGTAACATTATTTAACTTCAATTACAGATGGTTAACTTAATGAAAGGTTAAAAACTTGATCAAGATCCACAAGTTAGTAAGTCATAAAGAAAGAGATTCTAATCCAGCAACAAGCTCTGAATCATTGTGCTTCACAGCCTCTCTATAATGTGTCTTTTATTTTCTGGCTTTCCATATTTTCTATTGTTTTACAATGAATGCTTTAAAAAATAGTTGTCAACAAAATTTCTCAGATGCAAATTTCCAATTATCAATTTTAGAGTATCATTCTCAGATATATAAGTCATTTTGTAAAATATTTTATCATTTAAAGTTGCATGGATAGCCTTTTTTTAAAAAAATAACTTTATAGTACAGATAAAGAAAGGAAAATTTCACAATAATCATTTTGACAATGGTCATTGTTACATAGGGGCTGCATTCATTCTTCCTCTTTCATAAAAATAACAACCTTGAATACTTTTGTTTAGTTAATGAGAGAATTATGTAAGAACCAAACAGTAGAGGATATATTTTACACTTAAATATAATAGAGACCATGGGGACGGGTGATAAACAAAAACAGACTGGGTATAACGAACAACATGAACCTCTTTCTTATATAACTTCCTCTTCTTACCAAGACTTTTTATTTCACCAATTGTTGAACAAAATCTGTTTTACTTTCTAAACATTTAACTAGGCATGATGACTAAATTCTAGGGGTCATTTTAAAAAAACTGACCCAACATGAAAGCATTCCCAAAACACCTAGGTACATTGACATTTCAATATAAAAATATTGTATTACCAGATTTATAATAATCAAAAGAAAAGCCCTTTACTTAAAAACTTTAATAGCCTGGGCTATTAAATAAAATCCAACCTTATCCATAACTGAAAAATGATTCCTTAATGGTATGAATATTTAAGGAGTAATGCTCACATAAACTCAGCCTAATATTTAATAATACTTACATTCTCTAAGGAATCTAGCTTATACTATTTCTGCCCATTAGTTTCTATGGACAGAAGTTTGGTGGTGAATAACCTTAAACTATTGATTAGAAAGCAATTCTCAGATTATTCAGATATATTTAATTTTTTCACGTTCTCTATAAGCAAATGAAGAACAGCTTGTTATCACTTAAATAGAAAATTGAAAAGTTAGTGTAAAAGCCACATCACATAATTATATTTGTCCATGAGACCTGGATTTCTGAGTCTACTTCTAATTCTGCCATTCATTTCTGTAGGTAAAAATGTCTCTAGATTTCATTTTCTTCTCTCATAATATTAAGGAATTTGTCAAGTTTCACTCTTTTAAATTATTACATGATGATAACTACTTCGTTCTTTCATTAAGAAATTAGTTAGAGGATATAAACCAAGCATAAAATTCTTCATTTCAATTAGAATAAATTCTAAGAAACAACAAAGAAAAGGGAAGAAGAAAATAAAGAGTGCCATCTGCTTAGTGTGAGCATTCAAGAGCCCCTTAGAAGTCTCAGTGGGCTCTACTTCCTTGTGTCTATTTCTTATCAGAGTGCCCAACACAGAGGATTAGTGAAATGAAATGGTTTTATGGACAAGTAAAAATCAAGTAGAGGTATCATCTAAGTGAATCCCAATTTATAATAAGTCAAATCATATTGAGTTTGATAAACTAAGCAGAACTCACTAAAATACACATATATTTGTTAGTGCAACTACAAAGCTAATAGTTATTTTGACACTTGCTTAGGAGAAGGCTTTAAAATCTGAAATGGCTATTTCCTCAAAATCCTTAAAGATAAATTTAAAACACAGAGTGAAGTGAGTATCAAGGACCTAAACTTTTACTGGATCTTAGCATTACTCTAAAAGGGAAAAAAGCGCTGGGAATAAGGAAGAAAATAAGGCTGGGTAGATACTTGAGCAGAAGACAAGTAGGGGAGGCAGATAATTTTGTTTAATCCTCAATGGACTCTTAAGAGACAGTAAATCATTGCTTTTTTCAGGCTGGGCATAACTTTTGCTGAAATCAGCTGAAGGGACATGTCACATATAGTGTGTAGTTTCAGCATTTCAATCTCTGCTCCAACAACGAATATGCATACAAACCTCAAAGTGCTTTTCATAAGATTTCATTTTCATTCTTACAAAATGTCCTACCCATCCTGTTGAACTACGCAAAATAAGTTGCTGGCTGCTTGATGATTCGTTACTAAATGTATTAATTATTAATGTTGCTCAAAGCTACATAAATGAGAGGCAAAAAGCAAGCAATAGTAATCTCTTCAGGCAGATAAAGCCCCTTTCTGTCTCCACCAAAAAGCTGTTTTGACTTTCTTGAGAATGCAGAATCTTTCTTCAACACTATAAACATTTGACATTATTAAAAACCAGTAACAGAAAAGAGGCACAAACTCTGAAGTTCATTAAGGTTGAATTCTGAGATGTTGTAACAAAATTTTCCAGTGGTTGAAAGTTTCATGAATTCTCAAAGTTAGACAAATCTATTCTAAAAATTAAAATACATTTTAAATACATATCACTATATCGTAGTTGTTTATATCATGGTTTCTTATTCTGTTAGTACAGAAGGTTGACTAATTTTAGCTGACATTAAATTTTACTTCAAGTTAAAGAAAAAACTATCAACAACAAGGATACCAAATGCTATGAATACAATAAAAGCATACTAAAGCACACTAACAAATGTAATTTTGTAAAATGTGACTGGCAATTGATTTCTATCTTCTGGCAAAGCCAACATTATTAAAATAGTGACACTAAAATTCTTATTCTGTGGAGGAAAAGTAGTAGTAACTAGAGGCAATCCCATCTGAAAAAAAAAACAGAATTAGAAGATGGGTACCCAAGCTCCCAGTATTTTCCCAGCTTAATCTCTCTGAATTTGGCTGATGATACAGGTACAATCAATAAATTCTTAGAATAGCTGCTCTTTTCCAAGATTATTTCAAGCCCCAAAGTTGTTCCTATAAATATTTAAGGGAGAAAAACTACCACAACCACAGTGTCATACGGGGACATTTTGATGGCTTAATAGAACTCCAAGAAAAACCAACTTGCCCTGGTCACTTTATCAAACTTACCATAATACAATGATGCAAATCTAAATTTTACATGATGGAATTTTTTGGACACCAATTACAACTTTATGTATAAATTTACTGTACTACGTCTCCCAGTTAAGAACTCATATTCATACTTAACATTGATATCTCCACATTTTCCTTGTTCCTATGTCTCAGTCTTTCCCTAATAATCTCTTCTAAATGAAGAAACTCTTGGGATTAGTTTTCAAGATTTAGAAAATCCATCCTTTTTCAAATAGAGAGTACTCATTAGGTAAGACAATAAAATGTAGATACACTTATAAACTTGGTCAGGAATAACAAAAATACTTAAAACTTAAAATCAGAAATATCAATGTCTATATGATACTAAATGAACTCACTGAACTGCATTACAATATCCCCATTATTAGGTTTCTTATTTAGTGCTGATTTTAAACAGCAAACTTACCCGAACAAGTGCATCATCTATGATATGGTCACGTCTGACTTTCAGTCTCAAATATGGATTCAACTGCTGTCCTTGAACTAGGCTGTAGAGAACAGTGATTCTTCGTTCACTGTACATGCGAATTCTATTGTCATAATATAATCCCAAATTCTTTGTGACAGCATTCAATATAAAGGGACATGTCATAAAAGAGAACTTGTTCTCTGTTTCTACTTTGAAAAAAGTATAATCTTTATCCATTTCCAGAACATCATTCAGTGGTTCATTAATGAACTCTTCAAAAGAGATAAGTGGTTTTCGACAATCCAGAGTTTTAACACCAAGTTCAGTTTCCAATGGGTCCACTCGAGGACCTTTCTTGTTTCTTCTTTCCTCTCCCAAAAGCTCCTGAAGTGTCAATTCACTAGACTCAGGGATGGGCTCTTCATCATCTTCTTCATTATGATTTGTGTCCACTTCTCCTCCCACTACATTTGCATAGTAAACCATTTTCAAGCACTTTGAAGCAGCAACAATGGCATCATCATCATTCACTAGATTTCGACTGTTAAATTCATTGCTTATGACTTTGTAAGTTATAAGTTGCTGAAATGTTTCCATCATTCTCCGAATCTGATCTGCACTGTATTTAGACCATAGTCTAATCAGTTTCCCTTGGGCTGCAAGGGGTAGCTTGCTCATTGCTTTGCAAAATAATGGCAATGCCATTTCCAGATATTCAGGACTGTGGAGATTTCTATTCTCCATTACAATAATGAACAAATTCAGATAATTAGGATCTCGGGAGTACACATTATGATATGTCAAGTCACATTCTACATTAGGTGACAAATACACAAGTGCATTGAGAAAGGCAGTTTCTATTTTTTCATTAGAGAGCAATCTGGTATAGACTCTTCGAATAGCATCAATATCTACAGACACATCATCCGGGCCTAATTTTTGTAAATTATTGTCTCCCTGTGAGCTATCGCCTATTCTTGAGGAAGATGCTTCTGAATCTTCTTCCATAGCAGCAGCAGAGCATGCAGCTTTTTCTTTTTCATCTTCATCTTTGTCTTCATCCTTTCCTTGAAGAGATTTCAGTTCTTCCTTGGTGTGCTGTTTCATTTTCCGAAAGCTCTGTACCAATGCCTCAGCACTAGAGAAAACTCTTCCAATGACACGGATTAAAGGGGAATAATCCTCTCTCTCTCTACATAATTCAAGAATTTCATACACTATTTCTTCGGTTAGGTAAGTCACATCTAGAAAGTTAGAAGAAAAAAGAGAATATTTAATTTCAAAACATGCACTTTATTGTAGTAAGTTCTCATGAACTTAGTTATGAAATGTTTTATTGTAGAAAACAACACAACTCTATTTCACTAATTAATTTAAACTTGTTTCAAATGAGTTATTGAAAATTTTGGAAGCATTCTCTAACACATGCCTTAAACAAAAAGATTTCTCTTTTTGTTTGTCAAATATTTTGGACTCAGTCTCATTTATGAGTTAGATTTTTTTAAAAAGTATCTAATACACAGATTCAGCAATCAATAGCTTAAACTGTAAATATGAACCAACATATCCTATGCTGTTTCATGACAATACCCTATTACAACCTCACTATAGGGCAGAAAAACATTTTTCTGAAAGGTTTTCTTCAGCATAATCTTCTGGAAACACCTCTTTTCCTACTTTTGTATGTATTAAAACCAAACTGGTTCATTTGAGGCATTTCTAGTTTGTTTCAGGGTGGCATTCTGTGATTGAGAATATACCATATCTCATAAACTCTGATGTTAAAACTGCATCCTTATACACAGACAGTACAACATGTGTTTAAAAAACAAACAAAAAAAACACTTTGATATGATTTCTAACTCTGCCTTAACGTATTTGCTCCATAGTAAAAGACGCTATGAAATGCAAGTCATCACTGAAAGAATAAATGGCTTCCAAAAGTTAAACCACAAAAATACCAAATTTTATCATACCACAAAACCAATCTGTGGCCCAGTTAAAAATGTCTACACCTACAGTTTCCTTTATGAACTCAAATTATTTAAGAAATAATTCTCAGGTTTGTTCTATTGAGTATCTTTTACTCAATATTGTCAATCTCTTCCTGAAAAGTCTGAAACCACTAACTGGGAGACCATTTCTCTTTATTCTAATTGGAAAATATAATAGTACCTTCTTATAAGACAGTACAAACCCATATGCAATTTCCTAAAACGTAATCAAAACACAGAAGATACCTAACATAAATAAATGTCCTATTTATAAGGTTATTGACAGAGTCTTGCTTTGTGTGCAGTAAGGGGATATGTCTGTAGAAGAGCAACATTCTAGACTCACACATCCTCTGCTGATATGCCAAGTTTTCAGAAACTACCTGAAATGTATCAATACTTTTCCACTTAGTGTTTTGCTTAAAATATTCAAGTAAGTTCTAAACATATATGCAAACACATGCATATATATGCATATATATAAAAAGTAAAACTATAGAAATACAAATTATTAAGCTGGGATATCAATAAAAAGAGGTATTCTACTGAGAAAACATTAAATGAACAGATTTTTTTTCAGATTTATGTCTGTACACATCGAAGTATTGGTATGATTAAAATATTTATAATCCCTAACAGAAAAATGCAGAACATTACAAAAATAAAAAATGAAAAAGAAGGGGATAGTGGCATATTCTAGAATAAGGAAAGATTAAAACTGCTACATGATTTAGACTTCAGCAAAAAAAACAAAAAAAAAAGGATGAGGGGTGCTTAAAGACTGGGGCAAACACAGGATAAGCACCTCTAAAAAGGAGTATATGGTCAAAAACACAATGAGTGTATCTATCATGCACCATATTTCCTATAGGTGGTTGAATGCAACTGTGGTGGCACACTCTACTTCACTGAATGCTACTTTGTAATGCACACTTGCTGGAGAAATGTGTATAACAAAGTGATTGCAGTTTTCACATTATACATATTGACAACATTTACCTATTTATTCCTCGTAGGTGAACTAATTAATGATATAGAACTATAAATTTTGAGTAACAAAACTGTTTATAGTTATGAAATGTTTTATTGTAGAAAACAACACAACTCCATTTCACTAATTAATTTAAACTTGTTTCAAGTGAGTTATTGGAAATTTTGGAAGCATTCTCTAACACATGCCTTAAACAAAAAGATTTCTCTTTGAAAATATAATTGCCTCTACTGGTGTAAGCCCTGTCAGTCATCTAAAAATTTTATTTTCTTATTGCTAATATTAATTATCTTTTCTGAGGGAAAAGTTTTAACAATCTTTAGAATTTAGAGCCATTTAAAAAACAATAGACTTAAGTGAAAACTGCCACTAAGGAGAGTAGATAGGATAAAGGGAGAATACATCAGAAGGAAAAGTAGAATTATTCCTGAAACAAGTTTTACTAAATTTGCTTTCCCTTCTAAAACCAGAAGGGAAAAAAAAAAAAAAAAAAAACATTGCTTCATTTCTCTCTCTTGGGGGGGGGGGGGTAATGGGGATTGATCTCAGAGGTGCTTTACTGAGCAACATCCCCAGCAAGTTTTAGTCTTTATTTTGAGACAGGGTCTTGCTAAGTTGCTTAGGGCCTCAATAAATTGTTGAGGATGGCCTCAAACTTGCAATCATCCTGCCTCAGCCTCCCAAGCCACTGGGATTACAGGAATATGCCACCAGGCCCAACATTTTTCTGCTTCTTTTACCACACGGTCATGGGGTTTCAGAGCTCAAACCAGATAATTAGTCCAGTTATATTATAATTTTACAAGTTTGTAGCCTAATTTAAGAGATTAACTACAACTTAAAACATTTTTCCTATTAGAAACTTAATGTCCTAAGCTCACACAATATGACAAAATAATAAATTCATATATTTAAATCTCTAATATGGTAATCAATCACAATTCTCAATTAAAAAGAAAATATCTTACCTTTAAAATCAATCCTAGCTCCTTTTCCTTCCTTCTTGTTCATTTTTATCTCAGAGTTGTTAGGGGCACCTTTCGAGTTCTCAAGGTAAGCTGAGCTTGCTCCTTTCTTGGAGGGATGAGGATCACAGAGTTTTGCATTAATCTTATAAAGCTCGAGGGCTTTAATAGCTGCTGCATTGTTATCCATACGGAGAAAAGTTGGACAGGAAGCACAAAACTCATTCGTGCAGGCCTCATTTCCACAGCCCTCAGTTAACTGGTGGTAGTAGCGTTCTATTAGATGCTTTGCAGCTGCTCGCTTCCTGTACCAAACATTCAAACAGTAATAAGCACAGTGATTAGTACAGCTCAGGAACAAAGCTCAACAGATCATCAAGGCAAAAGTTAGTCAAGCATTGAAGTAATAAACTTGCATATTAAGATGAGATGTAAAACCAGGAAATCCACTGTTTACCCATAGCTTTTGACTAGTGAAATATTTGATATTTTCTAAGATACTAATATAAAAAATGTCAATGCTTTCTGAAAGCATCTTAATACACAGTTTTCTTTTGGTTAAAGAGGGGGGGGAAAATCTCTTGTTGCTGTATTGTTCAGCACAACAGCCGGAAAACCACAAGGATGAAAGCTAAGAGTTTTATCATTTTATCACTTTAAATTTAAAAAAGAGAGTCTATTTAGAGTATCAACCCAGTTTTCCTTTATATAATCACCAAATCAAGTTTATAAATACTTAATTTTTAGTTTTCACAGAATCTCTATCTGAAATTTAAAAAACATTTTCCCTAGTTATCAACTAAGTGAGAGAATAAAAAAATAAAGAGTAACTTTACAAATGAAAATATTGAAAGGTAGTGTTTCTACAAGAAAGTGGTTCCAGAGCACACAATCTTGAAACCAGAACTTATCACTAAACCTCCTCATTAATTCCTTATCAAAATAACATGGAATATTTTAAGTTCCATAAGGACAAAATATTATATTCCTCCTATTTTGATAAACTTAAACACAGGTTACTTTTCCATTATGGCTGTTCCAGCAAAGGAACCGAGAATGTTGAGGAAGGAATATTTCATTAAGCAAATAGAATCTATTTCTATGGTTTATTCAACTCAATTCTATGCTTCCAGTGATAATATGAGGTTAAGTAGAAACAGTCTACTGGATCCAAAGAAACATAATTCGAAGCTTTTCTCTCTGGTCCTAAATTTTATGTATGGGATAACTATAAAGAATCAAACCTATAAGAAAAAGGAATTCAAATAATTTAAATCTAAAAACATTCCTGCAATTATCTTATTAACACGTAGGACTAAGAGTCAAATGGCACTGGAGTTTACAGTTTGTTCATCATGAGAGACTCAAGAAAAGTGGCAAACAAGGAGATAAGGCACACTAATTAAGTCTAATTTTGTCTTAAAAGGTAGGATTCTAAACTATCAAGAAAGACAAAAAGAGTGATAATTCAACACATCCAATTCATTCTAGTGCTTTTTTCAATTTCAAAATATTCCATGCAAATTTACCATTCATGGCATGCAAACAGAGAAAGAAGAAAAACCCACAGAACACACTTAAAAATGCATGAACCATTTAAATGTAGGTACATACAATCCCACTTTTGGATACTAAAAGTTATTATTCCAGATATCAAAATTCAAAATATGAAAATTAAAACATGTAAAAGGAATAACAGAATACAGAAGACTTAAAGCATATGTTGCTATTCTTCAGTAAAGAATGGGAGGTATAAGACCTGCTCTCTCAAACGGAAGTAGATTTCTCTAACAAGAACATGAAATAGGTATTTCCATTCTGGAGGGCAATTATGAACATTTATCAAAAGTCTTAAAAATAAAAATATCCTACCAATTAGAGATTCCACTTATATAATTCCCATAATATGAACATGGCGACCATCTTCCTAATACAACACCAACTCACAAGTCAGCTATGACACAGTAGGTTTAGGATGAACCCATTTTTGTTTCAAAGTGTTAATAGTAATTTTCACTGTGTGATATGACTGAATGGGTTTTCTAAAATATCTCCATCTTTTTATTTCTAATATTTTCTTTTCTATATTAAGTATGCTACTTGTTATTAAAAATTAATAAATATGAATGGGGAGAACATTAGCAGTTTCAAAATTTTATGTACACGACCTGAATAGCCCCAGAGTTTATACTAGAGTATCCATAAACTTTTTAACAATTATTTATCAAATTCAAAATGCCAAAATGATCTAGTTGTTTTTTCTTAGTGAAAATGTCAGGTTTTGTCTTAAAGTAACCAAAAACAAAAAACTCTTCATATATATAATACTTCTGTAAGTACTGAATAAAGAAGGAATGTGAACAATGAAATAACTCTGAGAAATCACAAGACCCTCATTAAGTGTTAGCTCCTTTTATCTCAGGAGCTGTATGATACTGACCAGATGATTCTTTAGATCTCCATTTTCCCATTTTTAAGAGTGTTTTCAGTTCTCAATTTTGAGTTATTCTATGGAATAGGAAAAGTGAGCAATAAACTTGCACTTACTGAATGCCTAGTAACAAACTCAACACATTGCCAGGAACTTTTATAAAGATTATTGCATGTAAAACCTATGAATCCAAAGATCCTCTTCAGTCTACTGTCAATGAAAGAATGAGGAGTTGAACCTTGTTCCTAAGATCACACAAGGGAAAAGTATATAACCAGGACTGTAAAGAGTCCAAAAGTCTTCCAGCTTCAGAGTCTAAGTCATTCACTGAACAATGTAATTTTACAGAAGGTGATTCATTTCCTCATAACTAATTGCTAACATTAATGGTCCTAAAAAATCTTATGGGAAAAAAAGATCCCATTAATAATGTGTAACTGACAGAAAATTTAAAAAAGAAAAAAACATCGTTATTTGAATGTGCAGGTTATCTGGTACCATATATAGAGACCGAGTTTCCTGAGGAAATGGTACCAATGTATTCTTTAATGCTAAAATATAGCTAATTTGTTTAAGATGTACATGCTAAGGCACTTCATAGACAGTGCCATTTTAGAAAACAGTAATCCCTAATATTTCAAAGCTAGAACTGAGGCTAGACTGCCCCTGTTTACACGCTGGCTCTACCCCTTATTGACTGTGTGAACCTGAATAAATTATTTGGCCTTTCCATTGCCTCAGTTTCCTCTTTATTAAGATGGTCATATGTGTAAGAATTACCATGACTGTGAGAATTAAATGTGTTAATATGTATATAAAGTGCTTATAATATTATCTGGCACATACTAAGCACTATATAAGCATTAGCTGCAGTTATTATTGTGCTATTGTTATTACCCTCCTAAGTATACATTGAGATGATTAGCTACCTTAACCATCATGTTCCTGATGCTCTGAAGAATTATCTAACAAATCACACATCTAATAAGAGATTTGAATCCAGGTTTGACTGCAGAACTTGAGCTTTTTATTACACCTACTAAGAGGAGAATAAAGAGTAAGTTACTACCTCAAATTGATCTGGTTCTCTGTCACCAGGTAACAGATACAAAGCGCACTGATAAAACAGGACTAAAAAGAGGTCATGCCCCAAAACTCTAGGTTACTGGTGAAATCAACCATATTAAGCATTATTTTTTCTTCACCCCAATAATGCCTTGAATTATCTGAGTACATTTGTATCCCATCTAATTTAGGGCATAAAAAAAGGAGAACCACCAAAATTCAGTGGAGTAGGTAAAGGGAATGAAGGGAAGGAGGGGATGGGAAAAGGAAAGACAGTATAATCATTCTTACATTATTTTCCTATGTACACATACAAATACACCATGGTCAATCTCACCATTGTGTATAAGAAATTAATTTAAAAAACAAAACTGGGCAAATGGCAGAACAATCAATAGAAAGAAGGGGGGAAGAGGTATTGGGGATTGAACTAGAACCGATATATTTTACGTTTTTATAACTATGTCAAAACAAATTCTACCATCATGTATAATTTTTTAAAAAGCAAAAAATTTTAAAAAAGAAACTTTCCTCAGTAGACTAAAAAAAAGCATACAAATTATAGAGCACAGAAAAGCTAACATATTAATAATATAAAGGTAAATACTACTCATAATGTTTTAATAAATTTCCTGTCCACAGTTAACATCTGTACAGCAGCAGTCATCAAATCATAGGGCCAAACCTAACCCATCACCTATTTTTTAGAGTTTACAAACTTAGAATATTTTACATTCTTAAATGGTTTAAAAGAATGTGAACAGAATATTTGGTGTTCAGACACATAAAAATAATACAAAATTCAAATTTTTGTATTCATAAAGTTTATTAGAACATACCCAAGCTCATTTATTTATCTATTAGCTATGACTATTTTTACACTCCAACAGCAGAGTTGAACAGACTTATGGTTGGCCTGCAAAGCCTAAAATAAATACTACCTTGAAACACCACACACAAAAAATTGCCAACCCTTAGGATCTATCCTCTCTCCCCTGACAATTTCATCTAATCATTTGTCTTCCTTCCTCTCTTTCTCCTGAGCAAATAAATGTAATAACATGTGTATCTTTGGGCTAAGGTTGTGGCTCAGTGGCAGAGCGCTTAAAGGGCACCTGTGAAGTACTGGGGTTTGATCCTCAGCACCACACAGAAATAAATAAGTGGATAGGTAGATAAATAAATAGATAAATGTATTGTGTCCATTATTATATATATTTATATATAATGTGTAAATTTCTTCCAGTATTACTAAAGGAGAAAGGGAAGAAGAAAGTTCAGAAGGAAAAAGGGTGTAAAGGAAAAAGGGAAAAGAAAGGGAAAAAAATGGAGTAAAGCATTTGCCCTGATTAGATTCCTTTAGTAACACCTTACCTACTGTTCATAATCAAAATGGCCAAAATAGGATCTATAGTTTACTTTCTACAGCTTTCACACATTGCTCTTACTGTGTCAAAAGACAGAGTCCTCCAATAATAATAATATTTGTTAAATAAAGGTATACCTTTCACCAGGCACAGTGGCACAAGTCTATACTCTCAGAGGCTTGGGAAGTTGAGGCAAGGAGGATTGCGAGTTCAAAGCCAGCCTCACCAAAACCAAGGTGTTAAGCAACTCAGTGAGACCCTGTTTCTAAATAAAATACAAAACAAAACTGGGGACATGGCTCAGTGGTCGAGTGCCCCTGAATTCAATCCCTGGTACATCCCCCCACCCCCACAAAAAAAGGTATACCTTTCTTATTTAGTCAATAATAAAGATCAAGTGAGAATTTCCAGTAACAGATCTCGAAAAGTTAATGCAGACACC